ACTCAGTACAGATACTCTCAGCCTGATGTTGTGACCTTGTGTTAACACTTGAACACAAAATTGTCCGTCTCTTGCTGTATTGATTTAGATGTGTTCCCATGTCCTAGTCTTCATATGTGAAGTTTGAATGTATTAGTGGTGAATTTAATGGCCTAGATAGGATGCTGAACTTTTTAACAAGCATTTTAAGTTTTTATTGTTTGTTGAAACTAGTTACCTTCTGTAGTTTGTATAAAAGTTGTGGGGAGAAAGAATGGAATTCATTATGCAAGTATATTTTAAACAATTAATCTTTGCACCTTATCAAGTTGTGTGATTGTTAAGGTTTGAGTCAAATTAGTGGTTCAATTTCATTGGAGTTTTCTATTGTCTAAATGTGAAAGTTGTGTTTTGAGTCAAATCATCGGTTATATGTCATTGGAGTTTTCTACTGTCTAAATGTGAAAGTAGTATGAAAGTTGTGTGATTGTTACATTTTGAGTCAAACTATCGATTAGTGTGAAACATATTTTTCTCTGTGTTTAAGAATATGCTGGAGTGTTGGGAGCTTCTTTTATTTGTAACTCAGGGTTTGACAGGAACATTAGACTGATTACCCAATTGTTTTTGTTCAGGTTAGAGAAACAGTGCGTGATGTGGCATTCTTGCACAACGAATTGTTCTTTGCTGCTGCCCAGAAAAAGTATAAAACTGTTTTCTGTACTTAATGTTATTTATGTTGGTAATAGTTCAACATTTACAGGGTAGATTATGAAATGGCTGTTATAAATGGAAATTTTCTTCTGTTACACATGATTGTATTGCTAAACATCAATATCCCCTTCTTATATGTGTATTTATTTATTTTTGTATAGAAAAACGGTGACTATATTTTTAGAACCTGGTTGTCTACTTTTCAACTGACATGTTGGTTCAGTGAGTTATACATTTGTTTTGCAACCACATTTTTCTATTCTTGGTGGTTGCGTGATGATGAATTTTACTCCCGTTTTACATACACTGAGTTAGCCCTTTTCCTCGTTGTGGGATTCAAATTAAGTTGTTTTGGCCAATGATCTCCACAAAGCGGCATTCTTCCTGCTAAATAGCAGTGCTTAAAATATTTTACTCTGAACTTATTGCTACTACAATACTATGATACAGGTGCAATGCTTGGTTTATGTTGCTCAAAACTATTTTGTCATCGCAGTTATCCTTCTGCTTCTATTTCCGAACAAAGTTCTGTAGGGCTCATCCTACTGACTTATTCAACCATTATAACACTCATGTTTCTTAACAACCCATTACACTCTACTGTGGTTTTTTGGGTCATGTACAGCTTATTTTGTCTGGCAACATGAATGTTTACAAGAGTTAGATTTATAAGCAACACGCATTTTGTATTCAGTATCTGGAGTCTGTACTAGTTTATGTTGTTCTTAAGTTTTCCTAAATGTTGTGCTACATAAGATTGATGTTTCTCTTATTTAGTATGGCTAACCATTTTAATTAACGACAGGTATCCATATATTTATAATCGCGATGGTACTGAGCTTCACTGCTTAAAGGTTAGTATAAGTATTTAACAGATTGTCTCAACACACTGCTCACAGTCCTGCAAGCATTTTAAAGCCTTTCCACAACTATTAGTAACACATAACTAATTACTCTAAATATTGCAAGTGCAATTTTCATTTCGCATGTCTCTGTTTGAGTTCTCATTACAGTGTACGTATTATGAACCGGCTAATCAATTATTTCTTGACTTATGTTTCTGACGAGTCTGTATTGATGGAATAGAGTTTTAAAGCTCTCCAGATAGGTCTGTGATGGTCTGTGAGAGTTGAAGCATTTTAAGATTGCTACATTCTTTCTTTTCTCAAACCATAATCTGTGATTCCTTGTCTTTTCATAAATAGATGCGTATTCTATCCTCAGTTCACAACTAAAAGAAATTTTCTGAACTGTGATGTGCTGCTGTAAACAGCACTGTTATTCTGTGAATATAGTGGTTAAGGTAAATTTTTAGGAAGATCAGGTTAACCATGTCAAGTAATAGGAAATGAAGCCTCCATAAATAGGCCAGAGTCTTTAAAGTCAGTTGCCTATTTGCCTTGATTTTTTTGTGTAATTGTGCTCTGGACTTTCAGTTCTAGGAATCAGTGCTCCTCATGGGTGTAATATTCTGACAGATCAAAAGGTTTCTTGTGATCGTGTTGTCTCCCTTAATAGTTAATTGAATGATTTCAGATGCATCGTTATAGAACTAAAGTTATACTTATCATACAGGAACATGGGGCAGTTTTAAGGCTTCAATTTCTTAAAAACCACTTCCTCTTGGCATCAGTAAACAAATTTGGGCATCTACGTTATCAGGACGTAACAATGGGCAGGATGATAGGTAGTTACAGGACAGGCTTAGGCCGTACTGATGTGATGCAGGTGAACCCCTACAACGGGGTTGTTGCTTTGGGTCATTCGGGTGGTAAGGTTTCCATGTGGAAACCTACAAGCTCTGCTCCCCTCCTCCAGAGGCTGTGTCACAAGGGGCCCATCTCAGCGATGGCATTTCATCCTAATGGCCATCTCATGGCCACAGCTGGGAAGGAGAAGAAAATCATGCTTTGGGATTTGAGGAAACTTCAGGATGAGCCAATTCAAACTTTACCGGGCCATGCATCGACTTTGGATTTCAGTCAGAAAGGTCTGCTTGCTCGTGGGTGTAATTCATATGTGCAGATCCTGGGAGATTTTTCTGGGTCTCAGAACTACGAGAATTATATGGGCCATAGAATGATTAAAGGTTACCAAATAGGAAGGGTGATGTTTCGACCTTATGAAGATGTTCTGGGCATAGGGCACTCCATGGGGTGGTCTAGTATTCTGATTCCTGGTTCTGGGGAACCCAACTTTGATACCTGGGTGGCAAATCCATTTGAAACATCTAAACAGAGAAGAGAGAAGGAAGTGCACTCTCTACTCGATAAGCTCCCACCTGAAACAATCATGTTGAATCCCACAGAGCTTGGCACCGTAAAGACTCAGAGGAGGAAAGAGAAGCGAACAAAGGAGGAGAAAGAGGCAGAGATGGAAGCTGCTGTGGAAGCTGTCAAGGTCATTGAACCGAAGAAGAAAACAAAAGGGAGGAATAAGCCGAGTAAGAGGGCCAAGAAGAAGCAAGAGATGATTGTGAGTGCCAAGAGGCCTTTCTTGGAACAACAAAAGAAAGAGGAAGAACAAGTGGCTAGGAAGAAGCAGAAAGCAAGTGAGCAAGTAGAACAACCAACGGCTTTGCAACGGTTTGTTCGCAAGAAAGCAGCTACATGATCGTGCTAATCCAGGTATCGTTTTATGTTGTATTTTATTTATTTCAATGTTACTCATTACTGATTTTTCATTTTTGTATTAGCTGGTAGAATGTATTGCAAAATTTTGTCTTCATTTTATATATCGGAATCTTCTACTTTTCTGTAAGAAGATAAACATTCGAAATTCTGTATCCCAAAGGGAATGTTTGATTTTATTACATGTGTTATTATTGTTCTAAACTACACGGAGCAGAGGAAATGATTTGAACCCGAGACATGAGAAATGTTTACTGGTTATTCGGATTGGAAGGTTTTTCTACCATGCACTGTGGAGCATGGTATGCGTCGAACTTTTAAACCATTAGATTCTTTGGACGTTTAGAACAAATACAGAAACAAAAATTCTCCACCCTCCGAAACTCTATACCATACACCGGAGCACGGTAGAATTTGTGTGGATTGAATTAGCGAGTCTAGTTTTACACTGACACTGCCTTGCATTGCACCTGCTTGATCTTTTTAGCCTCTATTCTTTTGGTGGGTTTATGCGGGGCTATTTTTTAATCATGTATGCTTCTCAAAATTGAACCCAATCAGAAATCGCTTAATCCTTAGATTCATATGGTTCATTCCAAAATTTAAAGTGTTTGTGGTACTGATTGCTGTGCATCGTCGGAGAATGATAAGGAGAACCAGAAAAAAGAACGAATAAAAAGATTACTATCGATCCACTAGTTAAAAAAAGCCCAAACGACCAAATCCCGTCTACAGACTTTTCACTCCGAGAACTAATAAAATCACGTTTACAGACTTATCAGTTCGAGAAGGACTTACATAATAATACGAGTATAACAATACGATGACATTATGTGCCAATGAAATAAAAACATACGTATGTTTTCCTTCACGTATCTTCATTCGTTAGCATTAGACACCTCGTGATGATGACCTTGTGCCATATAAATTGTCGTCCATCATGGGAGCATTTTTGCTCACCATTCTAAACTTTGGTGTATTCTAATTATACACCTAATCATCTGCAACGTGTCATTTCACTTGATCTTGGTTAACTTTTTTTTCAAAATTAAAAAAGTAAAATTTAATGTGAAAATTAACTAGAGTTAAGTGTAAAGAAACATAGCAAATGATTAGGTGTATAGTAAGCATGCATCATAGTTATGGTGGTGAGCAAAAATGCATACCTTTTCATCTTATTGAACCATCAATTTTCTAAGAGGAAATTGTAGTAATGGTCCATCAACTTTAACCTAATTGGAGCAATGATCTCTCAATTAAATATACATGACTAGTGGTCTTTTAACTCATCAAAACGTACAGCTATCATTTTCTTCAACTCCGTTAGAACTTTCGTCAAAATAAGTCATGTGACACGCACATGAGACTAAATCAAGGGGCAAATATGAAAAAATTATAGCAATGGTCCCTCAACTTTAACCCAATCGAAAAAATGATATCTTAACTTTACCTCAATTATAGCAATCGTCCTCAACTTTAACCCAATTGTAGCAATGATCATTCCAACATAAGTCATTTTGATAGAATTCTGATGGAGTTGACAAAATGACTATAACTACACATTTTGATGATTTAAGAGACCAATTTGCTTCAATTGGGCTAAATTTGAGTTAATGATTTTCTAAAATTGGCTGGTTCGTCATTTAAAAATATAGGCCTACGCCGTAAAGACAGTTGAGCTTAATTAATGCAACACTCCACACTGAATTCTCACTTCTCTCTCTTTAAGTTCTCAACAATTAGTCAGCCAGTCTCACTATCCAGATTCCAAATCGACCGATCCAGTTTAATGACGAATGTCTTATCCTTCACCCCAACAACTCCTCTTCTCCGCCACCTCTCCGTTTTCTCTATCCTGCGCCGTCGCCACAACCCCACCACCCTCAAGTCCCCACCACATACCCTCTCACAGTCACCTCTCCGCTGTGCGCCGCACCCTCCCCCACGCCCCTCCCGCTCCGCTTCCGCTCTACCCGCCCCCGCCGATGGCCTCATGCAGGACGCCGGAGCCACCGCCGTCGTACTCGCCGGCGCCTACGGCCTCGTCCTCTGCTTCGATAATCTCACGCAGCGAAATCTTCTCCGACAGGTGATTTTGCTCCCTCCCATGAATTTTCTTCATGTATTGTTTACCATTATCTTTTCCATTTCATTTAAAATATTTTTTATTTTAGTCTGAGAGAGACTTGTTCAGCAGCCCGTCCTGATCGTCAACACATGTTTAAGTTGTGATTTTTTAATCACGACTTGAATACGTGTTCAATTATGATTGGTCATAAGCAACAGGGGCTGCTGATTCTTTCAGCAGCCAAGTTAAATTCTATTATTTTCGAATAATGTTATTTATATTATATTTTTATACTACTTTAAATGGCATGTGGGCAGTCATACCATTTGAAAATTTGGCAAATCCTAAAGAAATGATGGAGAAATACTCCTCGTATGTTATAATTATCATTTAATTAATTAGTTTTTTTTTAATTATTAATTTATTAAATAATAAATTAAATTTAAAAATCTGATTAATTCATAACTGTTCACATCAAATATCATTTAAGTGATATAAAAATATGATATAAAACATGGTATGAATAACATTTTTTTTAATTTTTGCTAGTGTTGGTCATGCACACAGGTTCAAAAGTCTGAAAAGTAGTTACTTTTGGTGACACACACTCTCTCTCTCCTTGTTTTTACTGGCAGCAACGTGATACAGAGTTTGTTTTTAGCAAGTAAATAGTAGCATGGTTGTCTTGCCTGTCAGAAAATGAATAACCCGTTGTATTCAATGTGTTCACTGTTAAGCCACGTCAATATTTTATATTACTATTATTTTTTGTCTTATTATCTTTATAAAAAAATCAATATAAAATATTAATGTGGCTTAACCATAATCGCACAAAATAAAAGGGGATGAGAGTGTATGGGAAATGGGAGGGCAGAGAAGCCGTGAATAATTTGGAGGCAGATTGTCTGTCTTCCTGTTTGGGTGCCCTTCCCATCCCCTCCTATTTTGTACGGTCACGGTTAAGTCACGACAATATTTTATATTAATTTTCTTTTATAGAGATCAACACAACAAAGCCTTTTCCCACCAGGTGGGGTCGGCTGTGGGAGGATGCAACACGGGGACTTTCTAGGCGGTCACCCATCCTAGTACTACTCTCATCCAAACTCATTTAACTTCGGAGTTCGGATGGGATCCGGTGCATGTGAGCTAGTATGATCGCATCCCAAGGATTCGACATAAGATAGGAATGACGGCTGTCGACTACCTGACGCACAATTTTTTTTTTATAGAGATAATAAGACAAAAAGTAATAAGAATATAAAATATTGATGTGGCTTAACCATGATTGCACAAATAAGAGAGGATTGGAAGAGCACCCAAACAGTAGAGCAGACAATTTGCCTCCGAATAACTTTTCCTTTTGAGGGAATTAGAAGCCTAGAAGGGGATTAGACGTAAAGAAAACTTACCCGTTCTAATCCTTTCATTTTGGACGGGATTGAAATTAATGTTTCTTTAACGAGTATTCCATCTTCTACCTTTGAGTGGGGAACAACTTTTCCATTTCTTCCTGAACATACCTTGAATATAGTGGGTTCCATTGATTCCAATACCAAACGCGGACAATGAGAAACGTTAATTCTAAGATATGGAGGAACTTCGGTATTGTTCATAAGGGGCATAAGTATAACCCAATGTTTATACAGGAAGAGTGAACCAAACTATAAGCTAGACAATGGAGAAAATAAAGGAATTAATCAATTAATGGAGTTAACCAAACAAAGAAGTGAATTTTGATGAAACGAGAGCTGGAGACAATGGAGGGATCCCGTCTCTCTAGCATTACTCTTTAAATTGTACACCTAAATCAATAGTAGCATGCAATGTTGTTTACAGTTCTTCTTTGCTTACTTTGAATGCAGAATTTAAGCAGAAAATTGGTGCATATATTATCTGGGATATTCTTCATGCTTTCCTGGCCAATTTTCAGGTATCCTTTTGCTCTTTTGACACAAAATCTCTTGCACTGTTTCTTGTTTATTAATTTATATTGCCAGCGGGCAGCGAGTTCTACAAGGTTCCCTGACTACTTGAGCTGATCATCGCTTTAATCCTAGAATAGCACCTCAACCGATGCTCGTTACTTTGCCTCTGTGGTTCCCCTTGTCAATTGCTTGAGGCTTCTTCTTCACGGCTTCTCCTTGGTCACCAATGAAGGACTCGTCAAATCTGTCACGAGAGAAGGAAATCCAAAGTAATTTTTTGTTTCTAAATATCAAACCTTATTCTATGCAGCTGATCATGTCTATTTTCATAAAGGCAGAGTGATATTTGACTTGTGTTTTCACATCTGCAGGGAGTTGCTTCGAGGTCCTTTGTATTACGTTCTCATATTGATCTTATGTGCTCTTGTGTTTTGGCGCGAGTCTCCCGTTGGACTGATCTCCTTGGCAATGATGTGCGGCGGGGATGGTAACTCCTCAACTTTCTCCAACATATTCACCCGTCTCTTAATCATTCTTCCATACAACCATTGTGTCCGTCTCTCAAGAAGAACTTACATGCAACTGGTTTACTACCACTCTCTCTATCTATATCTGCAACCCTCATAGTGAACCCGTTGCTGGAAAGTTTTGGTCTTGTCTCTCTGGTCCGGACATCTCATGTGATGAGAGAGATAGACGAGTGGTTGTATACAACTCATGGTGCGGAAGAAAAACCCGTTAATTTTCCTCCCTCCATTAGTGCAATTATAACCATTTCAGTTTCTCTGTTTACTTTATAGGTGTTGCTGATATCATGGGGAGAAAGTTTGGGTCGATAAAGATCCCTTATAATCCAAAAAAGAGTTGGGCTGGTAGCATATCGATGTTTCTTTTTGGGTTCTTGATTTCCATGGGGATGCTCTATTATTACTCCTTTCTGGGATATTTCGAACTGAATTGGATCCAGACAGCTGAAAAGGTAGCGTTCGTTGCTTTGGTGGCAACACTTGTGGAGTCCCTCCCAATTACAGAGGTATTAGATGACAACGTATCTGTTCCATTGGCAAGCATGGCGGCTGCATATTTGAGTTTCTCTTTGTAGCTTTGTTTCTTCTACTCCAATTCATCTCCCAAATTCCATATCGTCTGGTTCGATGATTCATTCCTTACTATCAGGGTGCCAGGGCGACCGTCCGGGACCTCAAAAAATCGGGGGCACCCAAATTATTAGGGTAGTGTATTCATATATGTTTCTGAAAGCGTGTAAATTAAAAAAAAAAATTGGTTAATTCATCAAGTAGGTTAGCTGTTTTGTTCGAACTATTCTCTGTACCTTTTTCTTTCTATTTTTACTTATTTTTGTTTGATTGTTAATTTCTTTTCCATCTTATAATTTGGTTAATTCAACAAGAGGGTTAACTAGATGTGCTGGTGCGTTGTTCATTTCTATTTTTTACTAATTTTTGTTTGATTGTTCATTTCTTTTACCTTTGATTATAATTACTAAAATTTGGTTAATTCATCAAGAAGGTTAACTAGAGGCACATATTTTTTATATCCATTCAAATTCAAATTTAACTTTCAACAAAATAATGTATGTATGTCTTTACCAATTTAATTTAGCAAGCACATAGATTATTCAAAAAATGAGATCATTCACGCAGCTGCAAAAATTGGAACTTTCACTTCTACCAAATCTACAAGGCTTTTGCTTAGAAAATTTAATTGTTAAAGTCCCATGCTTTAGACACTAGACGTCAACTATTGCTCGATTGACTAGTATTTTTACCATATAACAATCTTCTTTTCTTTATGACCACTTTTACAATGTAACTTTGTTTTTCTATATATGACGAACTTATTATCCGACAAAGAAAAATACTTGTTCAAATTATTAAAAATTCAAATACCTAAGAAAAAAAATCACATGAAAAACATAATTTTTTTTTTGTGTGTGTATTGTAGGTTTGTGGGCCCCATTTTTATTTTTGCCCAGGGCCTCCAAAATGTTTAGACGGGCCCTGCTTACTATGGAGATTATGGGAGCAGCTGTCATCCAGCTGTGCAGGGACTGCGACTGCATACATATTCCAAGCCACATTCCTTGAGCTCTATGGACACATAAGCAAAAGACATACAGCAAAGCACAAAACCAACCAGCTTTGACTTGGGTAAGTGTCTTTGTTAACAATTTTCAGTGGATAATGTGTGTTCAAGATCCGATCAATTTTGATTGGTGTTGGTATTTTGGCGGATTGGGCAGCCGATCTCATTTGGTGGGAAAAGATTTTGTTGTTGTCAGATTGGATCTTGAAATTCCAAAACCGAAAAGTTTGGATCAGATAGCGAGTTTTCTTCTGATTCTTGCACCTCTAATATCATTTGTATTAATTTTGTCAAAAAAAAATTGTTAGTATTAAAGAAAAAATCATGGAAAATCTTCTCGCATCTTATTTTGTTATTCTCAAGAACATACATAAATATAGATCGAGTAGCGAGTAGGTTTTGAATAAAACAAAAATTTTAGGAAGCATTCGACCCACATTGCTTGACATTACAAAGTTCAGCTGGGCTTGTTGCCTGAGCCTGGGGTTGCTTTGCTTAGCCCAAAGTTCAAAAAACATGATTTATCTTTAGCATTTTTTTTTAACAAATAATATTATGGGGACGGGTAAGCTTAGCCTTACAATAGACTAGCAATAATTTGGTTCAAATTCACATTTGAAGGTAATTGAATTACAAGTGAAGAGGAATACTAGACCGTAGTGCTAAATGGTATCTCTAACATTATTAGTAAACAGAAATGTTCTCCTCATGTGGTCCATGGCCTTGATAGATAAAGTTTTCATCTTTGACCCACCGTGTCCTGTCAAACACTCTCTCATCTCCGTAATCCAGCTTAAAGTAATTATATCACATGTAATAAAAACAGAAAAGCTCTCTTGATTACCAAGTGATAAAGAAATACACTATCATTCATTCTTAAATTTGATATCAATGGTAGTGAATAAATGGTGGGCTTTAGGGCTGATTTGATATTGTTGTGCTTTGAAAAAAAAAATTGATTCTAATGTGCTGTGAGAATAAGCTCATTTTTGTTACTTCACGTTTTTAGCTTTTTTTAACCCAAAACTGTGAAAATAAGCTGTTTTTAAGTATTTACCAAACACTTTTTTGAGCTCACATTTTTTTATACCCATTTTTTATAAAAGCACATCAGTACTAAACCAGTACTTAATGTTTTATTCTCAATTCTTGATATTAAATCCAATAGTAGGTGACTAAGAGAACTACATTGCATTAGCAAAACTACTTCCTCGTACAATACTAAGTACTGGTTTGGGATTTACTTAATTTTTCAAAAAGCAGCTGTGAAAAAAAATCTGGGCTGCAAAATGAGTTAGGTAAATGAAAATAATCTGCTTTTGTTCTAAATTATGGGCCAAAATAATCATAAAAGCCGAAGCAGCTTCTCAAAACTGGCTTCTTCTTTTTTTCACAACATGCGGATGAGCGGTAACCATTTAATGAAGGTTACTAAATGGCAATAGTATCCTCACATATTTAACAAAATGTGTTCGACCCCTCCCCAATTCCTCTCCACGAAACACCGCCCCCAGTCACCCACTGACCACTCCCCAACCTCCACAGCCAGTCCTCCCTTCCCCTTCACCCGTTCACATTTAACAAAATGTTTATATGAATTTTTCTGGTTCAAATTTGCGTTTTGATTTAGTATCTGAAAATGATTTGTTTTGTTTGTAACCTTTTAAATGCAAGCATGAAAAAAACAAGTAGACTTTGAATACCATTTTGGTTTGGTATTCAAATTATTTAGTATTTCAAACCGTAAACCGGCATGAAACGAATCGAAACCGTCGTGAATCGAACCGTACTATTTTAGTAATAGTTTTAAACGGAACCACACCGAACTGAACCTTTGATATTTTCTGGTTCCGGTTCTGATTTGAGGGTGGAACCGGGCGGAATCGAATGGTGCCCACCCCTACTTGTGTGGTTGCCACTAAGGGTTCGTTGCTACTATCATATCTTGTGATAGATCTACATTGGTGGCGTTTTGTTTGTTCGTGTTTGAGGTAGCCATATAAGGGTGTATTCTACTTTGTTTTTTTTGTGCAAATTCACTCTATATCAATTTTTTGGTCACTGAAGTAATCTACTCAATTGGCACCCTTGTATTTATTTGTATTGAGCAATGAAATGATATTCTATCGTTTCATGTAAAAAAGAATTATGTCGAGATATGTTAGCATTTTTTTTATCACGAGATATGTTAGCATTAGTCATTAAGTAAATTATTAAAAACCATAGTTAGTTCAGCACTCGTTAATTAATCAATGAATACAGTTGTATAAGCAGATATTAGCAATCAAACCTTTTAACCGCACTTGTTTTAGTGATATTTTATTGTTTTTGTTTAATCATTAAAAAAGGTTCCAAGTTTAAATCACCTTCCCCGTCCTTTGAAACAAATTTCTTTAAGAGCATCTCTAACAATACTAGCTAAATTTTTATTATTATAGCTAGTCAAATGATCCAAATACTAATTTGTCTAGCTGCCACTTCCAACAATAGCCCACAAAAAATGCAACTTTATAGTTCTTAATGTTTAGCAAAAATTTAACTTTCTCCCTGTGACATCTCACATTGCCCAGGGAAGTGATCCTTAAATGTATATTTTCATCTCTACCTAGCACGAGGCATTTTGAAAGCTCACTGGCTTCGGGTTCCATAGGAACTTCGAAGTTAAGCGAGAAGGAGGCCAGAGCACTCACAGGATGGGTAACCCACTGGGAACGTTGCTCGTGACTTCCCAAAAACAAAACCGTGAGGGAATGGTAAGCCCAAAACGGACAATATTGTTCTACGATGGTGGAGCGGGCCCGAGATGTGATGGACCCGGGCCGAGATGTGACAATTGGTATCAGAGCCTATCCCTAGCCGCGTGTGTGCCGACGAGGACGTAGGGCCCCTAAAGGGGGGGTGGATTGTGACATCCCAGATCGCCCAGGGGAGTGATCCTTAAATGTATATTTTCATCCCTACCTAGCACGAGGCCTTTTGGGAGCTCACTGGCTTTGGGTTCCGTAGGAACTCCGAAGTTAAGCGAGAAGGAGGCCAGAGCACTACCAGGATGGGTGACCCACTGGGAAGTTGCTCGTGGGTTCCCAAAAACAAAACCGTGAGGGAATAGTAAGCCCAAAGTGGACAATATCGTGCTACGATGGTGGAGCGAGCCCGGGATGTGATGGACCCGGGCCGAGATGTGACACTCCCTCTGTGTAGCTAAATATGTTAGTTGTTATTCACAAAGTTAAGATAACTAGTCATTTTTTACGAAGATACGATAGCGATTTTATTCATAGATCAGGGAAACATATAATAAAAAAAGGAGGGCGTCCTGAATTGAATCTAGAGACTCCTCGAACCAACAACTAGAGACCTTGAATTGTAAGGCCAACTTGACCTATATATGCGCCACCAAATTGACGGTTTTTATTAATGTAGTCATTTAACTAGCCCTTTAGGGCTTAATTTTTCTCCATTTTATATTAAAGTAGCCAAACAACCTTAACTAGGTTTTTGAAGATGCTCTAATGCAATAATTTTATATATATTTTATTTGAGATTTCAAATTTAAATCTCTCACATGCTAGAAAAAAAGCTCTTTATACAATAATATATGTTGAAGATTTGCAAATAATTTATCCAAATAAAATAAGAGTGGCCAATACTGACCGGGATCAACTAATCATCTTATCAAGATCACACCTTTATAGATTGTCAAATAAAGGTCCACATAAAGGAAATTAAATATATGAAAATCATTGAAAAATAATGAATACGCCCTGGAATATTTGGTACTTGGTTTCGTTTTTAAGCATAAAAAGGGAAGAAAGTTGAATTTTGTGTTGGAATGTGATGAAATAATAAAATGTGAGATAACATGTGCAAGAAACCACCTTATGTATAAGTATAGCATGTTGAACAAAGAAAGATTTGCATCTGTCAACCCAGATCATTTCCTTTCATTTCGAAGGAATAATGACCCCTTTCCTCTCATGTGAAAAATGAGAATTAGAAAAGCGCTACTTTTAAATACTTTTAGGGTGCGTTAGTTTGTCATCACTAGGCTTTATGGAGTGGAGTGGAGTGGACTGGACTAAAAGTTAGTATAGTCCTATGTTTGTTACCCGCATAAATTAGCTTTAATTAGATTACAAGGGATCCTCCGGAAAGCAAAGGACCCGTAGGAACTAGCTTTAGGGGATTTGAAATTTAAATTTTGGATCTAAAGAAATTCTCGAGCTGGAGGCGATGGTTGTGCCGCTGCGTGACAACGTGAGTCATGGTCGTCGTGGTGACTGATTGGCGATATCCAGTTTGTCGGGGAGGAGAGTTA